AAGTTGAGAAGTGGTCTGGTCAGCAGACTTCAATGAATATCTTTTACAAATAAGACACTTAATTATTAGTTTTTTGCAAATTGACGTCCTTTGGGGATCCAAAAGCAACTTCGAATTTCAGCTAAGGTCGTTGCTACTCCTCCATGCATCATTTTAACATGTGCACTTCCTACTATCAAATTCGTCAGCCAGGAGTCTCTTGAAAGAATTGCTGGATGTTTTTCATCATGTGACAAATTAGAATGTTCTAATCTTCCACCTGCTCTCAGTATCCCATTCTGGTCTAAAAATGGGTTAAAAGATATAAAGATGATTTCTTTTCAACTTTATTTTCGTTTTCTTCAGAGACTCGAATTTCTTTGGGATAAAAACGTTCTTGTTCAGATCGAATCCAATAATTTTCGACATCTACTATTTCTTCAGTCATTAACGGACCTGTCACATGGTTTGTTTTCCTAATTTTACCAATGAATTGCTTTATCCAACCAGTTACTCTCAACAATTTTCTTAAATTGAGATTTTCTTAACAATTTTCTTAAAATTTCTTAAATTACTATATTTTGAGATGTCTATAAGCCTTTCTTCAACTGATGTGCATACAAATTCATAAATATGATTAATGTTCTTGCGGTATTCCAATTCTTCTTCAATGACATGTTTCTCTTCATTCTGCCGAGGCCACAACTCAGATGACATTCTAAGCCATTCTGGTCCTTGAAACCAGATAGGATTGTTTTTCAGCTCATGAAGTTTAGCTCCTCTCAAAGCCAAATCAGCGGGATTACATTTACCGGGGCAATAGTGCCAATTGTCTGGGGATGTTAAATTTTGTATTTCTTGAATATGATTTTTAACGAAGAGCTTCAATTTGCACAGTCTTTTATCCAAAAAAGTGTGATTTTTGAATCAGTCCAGAAAAAACAAGAAAGTTGTAACTTTAAAACTTTAGTGATTGTAGTGCCTAGTTTGGCTGATAAAAGAGCTCCCATTAGTTCCAACCTAGGTAAGGTGAATGGTTTTAAAGGTGCTACTCTAGTCTTTGAAGCAACAAAAACCATAAATATTTGTTCATTGCTAGAAATTATATGCAGATACGCTACTGTACCATACGCCTTTTTGCCAATGGGTTAAAAAGCGTCAGAAAAACAGTGTGCAGTTCAATCCTTTCCACATCACTATTACCGACGGCAGAAAAATAATATTGTGGAATACCAATTTTGTCTAAATTGGAAACTTCTTTGCACCAAACAGAACATTAATTTTCTGGTAGTTCATCATCCCAGTCTAAAGAATCCGTAGAGACTACATTACCGATTATAAGTGTTCAAATTTGTTGCAATATGATTTTGACTCTAAGTAAAAATGGTGATAGTAGACCTACAGGATCAAAAATTCATCCTATTGCTTGTAAGACAAAACGTTTAGTATTAACTTGTTTTGATAGAAATGTTATCAAGTTTTTTACATCAAAGTAAACTATGTCACCTTGGTTGTCCCAAGCGACTCCTAACACTTTCAATGGAGGATTTCTAGCTTCCGAAACATGACTAGATTCCTCGGATTCAATACCTTCTTTAATCCATAATTTGCACAGCTCTTGAGAATTCGTGTGCCATTTATGTAGAACCATACTAGCATCTCTAAAAATGCTAACGCATTCTAAACTGGTATTGAAAGCAAGTTCAACGTTTTGGTGTTCTCCAATAATGTCATCTACATAAATGTGATCATTTAGAAATTCGCAAGTGGCAGGGTAGGTTTTCTCATATTGTTTCAAATGGTGTTTAATGGTTGCAGCCAGTAAAAACGGACTGCTATTTATGCCAAATAACACACGAGTGAACCGATAAGTTATAAAATTTTGTGGATCATCGAATGTGTTTTTAGTAAACACAAAACGCGTTACATCTCTGTCTTTCTCATCTACTTCTATCTGAAGAAAAGCCTGCTTTATGTCACTTGTAAATGCTACAGGATGAAGCCTGAAGGCCAACAGAAGTTCAAAAATGTCAGGATACAAATTTAGACCAATATGCAAGCAGTCATTGAATGAAATTTCACCAGGTCCATGTGAAGACGCGTCGAATACGATACGCAGTTTACAAGTAGTTCGATCACTGTGAACGATTTCTCTGTGAGGCAAATAAAATGTGATTTGAGATCCACTATCAACAGTGTCTGAAACTAGTTCATTGATGTTTTGTTGTAAATAATCTTGTAGAACTGTTTGGTACGAATAAAAAAGTTCAGGGTTATTCTGAAATCGTTTCAGCGCAATGGCTTTATTATCATGTAACTCATATTTTCTATCAGACTTCCATGGCAGCCTAACCTTGTAACGAGAATTTTTGTATAAAATTTCCGATTCGAATTTTCCCATTATTTTCCATTACTTTTATTTTTTTCATTTAGTTCTTTCTCAGCACGAAAGCATATTGAACGGTTATGTCAACCTTTGCACTTGGAGCAGACGAGATCGCTTCTACATTGCTTCACACTGTGGTTTGATTTCAGACAAAGGTAACATCTTGCATGTTTATGTAATAAATTTCTCTTCTTATCAACTGTCAGTGACTCACAGTCTTCAGTAACATATTTGGATGTATTACAAAACAGACACCAATTAGTAGTTTTGCTTTCTTTAACCGGTGCCAAAAGTTGGTAAGTGGAATGGGCGATACTCCCCTTCCCTCCCTTCTCTTTATAAACACAGAGAAGTGCTTTCTAATTTATGAGTGGAGAGCAAAAGATGGCTTCTCTCGCGACTTTCCGGTTCTGAATGAATAAACTGCAATAATTCGTCAACATTAAAAAAAGGTGACGAATCCGTTTTACGATTGAATTCTAAGGTTATATCAGATGGCAGAGTTTTCATTATGGCTGGAATCAACATAAAACTGTATTTATCTGGTGTGACTTTTAATGATTTCAAGCTGCGTATTTGAGTTTCTATAGTGTTACAACGTTTGCGAAGTTTTAAAGTGTCACTGGATTTGGTTACTGAGGTAAGGCTCAGGAGTTTTTGCATGTGTGAGTTTATAATTATATCTTTCCTGCCAAACCTGTTTTTAAGTATTTCAATAACTTCATCGTAATTTGGTTCCAAAATACAAAAACCTTCTATCGAGTATGCAGCGTTGCCGCATAAGTACGATTTTAAATAATTAAATTTTTGGATCTTTGTTAAAGATACATTATCGTGGATTGCTACTTTGAGAGTTCCAAAAACTTGTCCACTGGGTATAATCTCCATAGAATTTAGTGATGGTTAATTTTGGCAGACGCGTACATTTATTGCTTTCGATTTTAGAATTAGTTTCGTTAAGACAGTTTTTTTATCTGAATTTATTACTTCATTTAATTCTTTCAATTTTTTATTTGCTCTGAATTGCCATAACTGAATTTTTTCTTCGTATTTGATACAAGATAGAATTTCTGTTTCAAACTCTTCCACCTCTGATTTCAAGTCACGCTCTATCTGGGCATCTAATTCACTCAGAGTTTTCAATGTCATGATTAATTGGTCTAAACTTTCTTCTAATGTACTTGTATCAATTTCTTCTTTATTCAACTCTCATTCGATTTTTTTTTTTTTTTTGGAATCTTAGACACGGTGGTCCTGATAACTGTTCTTTTCAATTTTACTTTACCAACAGACTCTTTCCGCCATACTTACTCTACAAATTAGAAAATTTAGTCTTACCCTTTGCTGACTTTGCACACTTGCAATGTGCTAAATCTAATTCTTTACAGCCTTATGCACCAGTTGTTTCAAAATATTCTAAGATTGCTACAAATCGACATCAATCACTTTTAAAATGTAACTTTTAATATGTACAATATTTACAGATCATTAATCAAAACATGGTGGTTCAGTTGACAAACAAATTTATGTGCTTTCGCAATCGAAATCTTTCAAATAGGAACCGAAGTGTTCCTAATCAATTACTGTGCAAAGCATCAAACATCCATCTCTCGAGCTGCCGCTGGAGAGTCTATGGAAGTTCAGAAGGCACGTTCAACACGCGATGCTAGCGCCATCTATTAATTAATCAAAATAATTTCCACACAAGGTATTGATGGTAGGGAAAAAGAGGTAGAAGATCCTCTGGTCAGGCAATTCTAAGTCAATATTTGGATGGTACAGAACAAACTCATATTGTGTCTTATAAGGTGTCTAAGACCTAAGCTAATGACAGGTGCATTCTTTGCCCCTCAGCTATAACAAAATTTGTGGACCTGATATAGCTGTAGATTGCAAGATTAGGGAAACTAGAAATAACAACAACAGAAAATTTGCCTTAAAAAAATAATGAATTTATTTAAAAAAGAAAGAAAACAGAAAAAAGTGGGAAAAGGAAAAAGAAAATCAGATGCTTTCAGATTTTATATTATGCCCAAGAGGGCACTTTTTAAACGTTCTGTGTGTTACCTTTAATTAGTGAATATCATGTCCTTCGCACCTAAACCACATAAAATTCAATTCAAGAGCAATATCACAAAATATTTAAAAACAGGAAATCTTTAGAATTTTCAATACACAGCCTGGAGATTTTTTTTTTGGGGGGGGGGGGTATAGTGATGCCATTGCTTGCTTTGAAATCATTGAGTTTGTTCATAAAAAATTTTGTTAAAATGTTCTAGAAAATTTGAAATAGATAATAAAACAAATTAAAAATTCGGGCTTCCAAGTGCTTATGTTCAGTTGGAGAACTATGTTATTCAAAATCTTATGGCTCTAGGTACCGTTGTTTCTTCACAATGCGAGAAACATTCATGAATTCATGCAGATTCTTCGTTATTTATTTTCTTTAAATATAATACATGGCGATAATATTTGGTGGCAACAGTTTGAAAAGTAAATCAATGCAGAAAGTGAAACAATGCAAAATGCCATTTTCAGACTAATAGCCCTTTGGGTCTAATCCCTTTTATGTTAAAAAATGCAAATAGAATATGAAAAGATAATTTTGAAATATACAACTACAGATAATAGTTACCTGGTCCACACCATCATAACAAACTCCACACTCTATTTTGCGCAAGTTTTCACTAAAAATTAAAATAGAAAATAATTTTAGTAACATGGTCAGAACACTTATTAAATTCTGGACATTTTTGAGAAAATATACACATCAGTAAAATTCAAAAGAGAAAATGAATACATTGGTAAAATTTTACACATAAAAAGTCAGATGACTATTTTCAATATCATATGTAAATTGAAAATATGTATATCAATGATTTTTATACTTCTTAATCAAATTATGCATTTTTTGCTTTTAATTTTTCATGAAAAATCATTTGAGATTATTAGTTTACTATTTTTTGCTACTCAATCAGATAAAAGTTTACATAATTGGAGGACCAGAGTAAAAATTCTTACAAAGACTATTTCTTATATTTTTTTTACAATACAGCTGATATCACTGATGCAAACTGTATAAAGTATAATGAAATGAGTTCCCAAATCAAAATCTTATAATTTAAATTTAAAAACAAAAAAATACATTTCATGATCCTTAGACTTTTAGTTTATTGTGTGTTGTATAAAATAATATAAACTTATACAATTAAAACTACTATTATATTTTTTTCTGTGAAAAGCTGGAAATATAAAGAAAAAATAATTCCTATTTACTATAAACCTTAAATGATATAGAGGAAATCATATAATTAAACCAAATATCACATATCCTTAAACCAAATATATGATGAAAGCACAAATTAAAAAATCTAGTACATTTTTATCATGTAAGAACTAATTTCTGCTGGTGGTTTTCCCTCTCATGGAAAGAAAAGCACTACTTTTCCTGTAAGAATTACTAGAATATATAGCAACAAAGCAATGTAACAATGGCCTAGAGCTCTCTTTTTTTGAGAAAGATGTAAAAAAGTAAAATATAAAGTTTGAAATTTTAACTTCTAACATTAAATTTTAGAATTTAGAAAAGTAAGAAATACACAAATTTTTATGTATTTGGGTATCTGGAAAATTTTGAAATTTTTATGATAAAGATAAATGAAGCAGTTCAAAAACATAAGAGAAAATTTCATTGAATTACATAAGCACAATTTTGTTCTACGACCATCTGCCATCCCTCCAGCAGATGAATTCCTTTAAAAAAAAATCTGATGTGTACACCACATGACTTTCTTGTACGGAATATTAAATTATACATTTTTTTTCTTGCATTTCATTTAAACTTATTGGATTGAATTAAATCTACTTCGTCCGACAGCGCATAAACCACAATAGAATAAATGCACTTCTTTAAAATTCACTATATTTGTTTACTATAACGACACTCTGAATGCACAAAATTTATATCATTTATGAAGAATTATCTAATCGTTGCCACATGTTCTATTCAAATACTATAATAAAGCTAGAACGATGTATAAAAGAAATTAAGCAAACAAAACAAAAAGAAACAGTTTTTTTCACAGACGATTGAGTATTTCTCATTCAATTAATTCAGTTCTCACTTCGCGAGAAGGCAAAAATACATAAAAACTCAAAATATCTATATTAAAAATTACGAAGTAAATCTTAAACACTTATTTCCTCGAAAAAATTCCAGAAAGAATTAAGCATGATTTAATTGGCAATAATAAATGAATGCGTTATCTTTGTTGTTGCGAAGCTAAGTTTCTCTAGATTGGCAACAAATCCACTAGTCTCCTGTTTCAAATGTAAACATCAATGGCCGCCATTAAAAACAGGCTTAGCGGCACTTAAACAACTTTAAAATTGTTGATAATTCTAAAAATATTGCACACAGATTTACTAAAGGCATAAAAACCTTAACCGGAAGATAAAACAACATAATTCAATCATTTTTAAAGCAAAAAATGTACAATTTACAAACATATAAGAGTAAAGAAACTGAGATCACTGAGCCGGGTAACAGAGTGGATATATATATATAAATATATTTATATACGTTTGGTGCGGCCGATTGCAACCAAAATACGAGGTGCACATCTACATGTTATAGCAGTCCTATATACAAAATTTCAACGTTCTGAGGCTACTCGTTTTTGAGTTATGCGAGATACGTACGTACGCACGTACATACATACGTTCGTACAGACGCCACGAAAAATTCTCTTCAGAATTCATTTTAAAGCAGTTTTATAATTTTTTTGAAGGAAAAGAGTATTTTATTCTGTCCTTACGTACAGATATCACGCAAAACCATCGTTAAATTGCATTCGATAGCGGTCAAAATGGATATTTTCGTTGAAATATGCTGCCTGAAACTTTTCGCGATTACAATACTTCCTTTTTACTTCATACAAGGAAGTAAAAAACATCAGAATGATTTATAAAGAAATTATAAAAGTGAAATTTAACAAAAGTCAATTTTAGGCCAACTGAAGAGTTTTGAAGTGACCTGAATAGATGAAAATGCAATGGAGATAAGTCTGGTGAATATTGGAGATATGTCTGGAGGAAGGGGTCCTATAAAACATCCCACCCATAAGCCTTTGTCTAAATTTATCAAAATATAGGGCTACCATTGTTATGATGGAAGACAACAGCACAACGATTGGTCAGTTCGGAAGACTTTGCTTCAATTTCTGCTTTTAAAATTGACATTTGGAAACAGTATTTTTTCAAGTTCATTATCTGATTAGATGGCAGCAATTTATAGCATACTAATCCTTTGTAGTAACATACGCGAAGAAAAATATTGGATGCTGGCCCCCCTCTTGAAGTTATTAACTACGGGAGTCGAATTTGGCTTACCCCATTCATGCTAAGCAGCAACACCATTTCAAATTAACTCCAAACTGACTTTAATTCACTTTATAATGCACGATTCTGGTTACTCAACTAATTGTAATGCAATTCTCATATAAAATATATTAGAATTTACTTACATATTCTAAATTTTATGTTCTTTGCCTAATTTCATTTTTCAATTTTCTTACAATTTTACTGCAAAAATTGTGAATAATGCAACTTTATTTATTTATCAATGTATTTTTTAAATATGATGAAAATAAAATGAATTACTAATGTACATAGTATTTGTATGGGTAAACTTAGTAATGTATCATATATTGAAGTAAAATCGAATTAAATACAAATATTAACTGGCCAAACATTGCTTGAATCTTCAATCTATAAAAATCTACAAATACCCACCGTAGCTTACGATAACTCGTATCATACAAAATTTAATAATATCAATAAAAATGTGATAAAATGTACAATTCAGATGAAATAAAATTTAATACGAAATATTATTCCAAAAATCACTAGAGGTGTGGGGATGTCTGATTTATTTCACTAAATCAATAAATTTTGTTTATTGCTGAGAAATATTTTCTTTAGTAATGGCTAAAAATTAAAATTCAGGAGAGATCATGAAATCATAAGATCAAAAGATATGACAAGAGTAAATCATGAGTTTTACCACGAGATCAAAAGATATGACAAAAAACTGAAAGTCTCCTGGTAAAACCGAGAAAGCTGGCAGCTATGTTTTAACAAAACATATTGTGTACAATATTGTTTGCATCTTCTTCTCATCTCCATAATGAGCCATTTTAAAAAAAAAAATGGGAGGGGGGGTTATTATTTTTCAGGAAAGCATCACATGCCGAAATTCGGGCAAGCATGTTCTGCTCTGTTAAAATATAGATACCTATACAATGTAGTGGCTTACATACCTATTCTTCAAATGATCATGTGCTGTATTTTTTGGAATATTTAAATCCGCCTGATAGAACCCAACCTGTGTAAAGTGGATTTTCAGCAATAGTGTCTTTTAACAGCTCCCTACTTACAAAAGATGCTTATTCAGAATGGGCATCATCTTCAAAGCTAAAATTTTCCTTGTAAACTTCTCAAACCACCTTCGAGCAGCGTAATCAGAGCACTCTGTCTGCATATTCAGCACAAATTTTATGAGCAGCCTGACTAGCACTTTTTCCTTTTTTAAAATAAAAGAGCATAATATGATAAAAATGCATTTTTGGATTCTCCATTCTTAGCACTACAGTTTTGGTGAAAAGCATTATGCCATAGCACATGCTAGAGGTATTCAATGTGAACAGAAAAAATTGTAAACATCTCCTGTTATCAAGGCCATGCCTTATCAGCAATAACAAAATAATTAGTAGAAAATGCACAGTGATTTGAAAAGCTGCAGAACTTTTTGAATGATCCAACGTTTTACACATTATACAAGGATTTGAAAAGCCTCTTGAAAATGGAGACCCAAGACATTTATTTCTTTTGCCTTTGCATAAATCAGACCTTGTACCCACTTACAATATTTTGGTACTAAAACATTAGCCAGCATCTGGCAATATACCACTAATAATATCATCAATGACTCTGCTCTTTTGCAATTGTTGCAGCAAATCCTAATAGCTGTTGTAATGTTATGGTTGTGATATATTGCAGGGCGCCAGCTACTAAATTAAGTTCCAGTATTATTTAGTAATTCTACCGCAATATGTTTTGAAGATTTAGAATGGAAAGACTCTAAAATCAGATTGGCACAGAATTCAAGTTTTCCAACTATGTTAAATCAGTACCTCTTATAATGATAAAAACAAAGTATATAAAGACCAAACAGAAAGAAGGAAGTAAAAACACAGATTGTTAAAGAAACCCAGATTGCTCTAGTATCATACACACAGAAAACAATGTAACCAAGTGTATAGAGAAAAGATTAAAGGTACACCTGGATGCACGCCACATATGCTCATTCACACTTATTCTTAGAACATATGTGCTAGTAGAATCACTATGTTTTTGAATGTTACATTTTCATCAAAGGTCATCCTTTGAAGCATGGCTGTAAGGTCAAAGTTCAGAAAAAGTCTTATTTTTAATGCAGACAGCTAGCATTCTTAATGATAACGGCTGTTTTGAAAGGTTTTATGAGCAACCAATCAGTATCCCGAAATTTTCATTCTGTGATGTTCTTGTTTAGAATGCTAGTTTGCAATAACTCCATTACGAACTGTGTGATTTGAATTCTATATTTATCCAAACTGTTAATTCACATTTAGAATGGCTATCATAAAATGAGATTATAAGTGGCAGAAAAGTAAACTAAAGGTTCTTTTGCCCATTATAGCAGAAATTAAGGACTTAAAAATAAATAAAAATTCCCTTTATGTCCTTACATTCACCCTTCTCTCCATTTAGAGGATAATTAGAGAAACAAAAACAGATGCAACTGGGCAAATCAAATGACTACATTACAACACCTTCAAACTGATAAAATACTATAACACGTGCAAGATTTATACGTTGCTTAACAAGCAGATATTGCAGATAAAGTGATTGATATAGGAGAATGAATCCAACTGATGAAGTAAAGGCAAAATATGATAAGCATTTTGAGATAACTTACGATTATCTCAAAAGTTTAAAAACAGAAGAAGAAGAAGAAGATGAAGCAAACTTGTCACCAAATTAACGTGAAGGAAACATATTATTGGCAAAGATTTTGCCTGATCTCAATATAAATAGAATAACAGCAGAGAGTACTTAATTTTATTCACCTACCTCATGACTTGAGAACTCCATTTGGGGCTCATTCCCAATTTAATAACAGAAAGGTTCACATTTAGAACATTTCTGGCATGCAATGGACTATTCTATAAAATTTATCTACCTTTTAAATGCTTTTGCATTATTTAACATTTAAAAGTGCAGGTAAAACTCTTCTGAAATTGTAAAACACTAAAAAAGGATCTAATATGAAATTATTTTAGAAAACTAAAGTTATGAAATTGACAAATATAGTTAAAGTATCCAGTAAAAAATTATTTTAGAAAACAAGGAGTTTCTTGGAAGTTAATTACTAAAGAATTACCTAGCCAGGAGGTTCTCTGAAATTATAACTGAAGATGATTTCAAGATTCTAGGTTTTGTACTGACACTGGAAATTAAATCATCAGAAATGGAGGCTGTGATTAATGCTGAACCTCTAACCGATACAATGATTATATACAGCCCTGATCTCTCTCATCAGCAGACTTTTTAACTAGTCAAAGATTGTTAGCCATGAAACAGGTATCCTTAACAAAGAACAACATTAACACAATAATGATTGTTGGAGCTGTTAAGGCAACAAGAATAAGCATAATACAGTCAAAAATCGTTAATCTGGACTCGTCGGGAATTCGGCGATTCCGGATTATAGATCATCAGTTTAAATCTGGTAAAATGGCATGCAGAAATTATAAAATTAAAAATATGAAACCGTAATTTACGAAATAAAGAACAATTATGATCTAAAGGGTATCAAAATTTACAAAAAAAAAGCTTAATATTTATTTGTTTACTTTATTAAACATTTCTTTTAATGTAGTTGTTTAAGTTGCTTCGTTTTTATGTTATAATGCATTCTCTTTAATTCTATAAACCGACATAATTTCTTGTTCAGTTACAAAGTTCCGCTGTTCAAGTCCTATAATTGATGTTCAAGAATACCGACTAATTGTCAATCGAAATTTTTTCGTTTTCAATAACCCTCTGTCACTTCTTCGCTATCGGAAGCGAATATAATGACGAGGCATTTGATTTAAATCATATCAAAGACGAATGAAAATACTACATTGAGTAAACAATTATAAGCCAATAAATAAAACATCTGTCCTTAAGATAAGGATAGTGCTGACATCAACTTCCAATCAATGCACGCCGCCGCGGCGTTAAAGATAAATAAAATCTGGATCCAATTCAAAGATTAAGGAACAACGCAATCTGCACTTAACTGAAATAGATAATAGATAATTTTAGCTTAGCTTATCCCGTCCGTTATACATTAAACGCGCATTCGTAAACGTATTTTGCGCACGCGCACACGCAAATTCGCAGGCGCAGAAAGTTTGTAGCTTTGAAGTCCGGATTATAGATCATTCCGGATTATGGGTGTCCGAATTAACGACTTTTGACTGTATTTATAAATTTGCAGGATTAGTTTTGAAGCTTTGAACTTAGGACCTTCTTCAACTGCAGAAGTTCAAATAATTAAGGAAAATCCTGCACTCAGATGATATTAACCACTTTCTTCCTCTCATTGTTATCACCCGAGCACAGACTTCTTTTTTGCCATTTGTACTTCAGCAGTTAAAGCAGAAGGATCTATATTTAAACCTTCAAAATCAGTCCTGCAAATTTATAAATATTGCACTGATTCTCAATGTCTTAACACTTCCAATAAAGAACTATGTTAGAAACATCTTAAATAAATTTGGAAAAATTGATATATATATGAAAATAAATATAATCTTGAAAACTAAAATATGCTCACCAAGCAAAGAGAATAAGATCAATCGATATTTGTAAGGAATCAATAAGCTTGCAATATAATGAAAACAAATCCCAAGTTAGCTTTCGAAAAAACCTTTAAAAGCAATTTCCCAAAGCCCAAAATGGAAGGGTACTTTGTTCTGCTAGACTATGTTGTGGAATTATTATTTGAATAGCAATGCAACAAATTTTTTTCATCAGAAAGAATGACACTGCATCCTTCTGAGCAAGGAAATGTAGATCAAGAATCAGCACTGCAGTACAGTAGTAGGAATTAAAAATCCTGAAATGACAATATAGTGTCCATGGTGTGAGATATACTTGTACAGTCAAAAGTCGTTAATTCGAACACCCATAATCCGGAATGATCTATAATAATCCGGACCTCAACAAAGCTAAAAACTTCTGCCATGCGCAGCGTTCGGCACATGCGCACAGGCGTTTTACGCGTGAGCGAAGACCTGACTACTGACGCATATGCAGTGTGCGCAAGTTGCAGAATATGTTTTCGCTGGCGCGTGTAATGTATAACGGACGGTTAAGCGAAAATTATCTAATTTATTTCGTTAATGTTAATGATTGCGTTGTTTCCTTAATCTTCGAATTGATCCGCTTATTATTTTTTGCGGACGGTAAGCATTTTTAAAAGTAAACTTAACTTTCGATTATGTCAAATAATTTCCGAGCTGGAACTTCCAAAGATCTACAATGAAAGTATTTTCGATTCCACAAACAAAAAGGGAATGCTGCAAAAAAAGGTAACGCATAATAATGGACAGAGAAGTTATGAACGAAAAAAACGTTGTCGGTATTCTCGGCACGCAATAACGGGACTTGAACGGCTTAACTTTATAACTGAACAAGAAATTATGTCTGTTTATAGAATTAAGAGAAAGTTTATTACATAAAACGTAGGCAACTTAAACAATTGAAAATTGAAATTTACCTTGAAAGAATGTTTAATAGTAAACAAATAAACATTAAGCTCCTTTTTTTTTTTTTTTTTTTGTAAATTGATACCCTTAGATCATAATTGTTTTTTATTTCATAAATTACAGTTTCATATTTTTATTTTAGAATTCTGCATGCCATCTTACGAGATTTAAACTGATAATCTATAATCCGGAATCGCCGAAGTCCGACGAGTCCGGATTAACGACTTTTGACTGTATTTATATCTTGATTACAAACTTACTGATATCTTTGTAATTGGTCCTTGTGATGATGTAACTACATAATGTTCATCTGATCTTTGTAATTGGTATTATGTAAAAATATTGTGCAACTTTGAAGCAAAAATACTAAATTAAATGATGCCATACAATAAAAATTTTAATTAATAGGCTATCAGAATGCAAGAAATCTGTAAAATCTTTGCTACACAAACCATAAACATACATTTTAAAAACATTACATCATGAAAATTTAATATCTTACTGCTGTAAATTGGTGAGTCGATCACTTTCATCAACAGTTCTCCTTCTTTTCCTTCTTGTTGTGTTTGAAGAATTTACCAGAATGGAATGAAATGTCCCATTTCCAGTTACAATGGGAGCATATGGTGTAGATTCATTAACTAAGGTAATTAACCTCTCGTTGCTCTCATTACAGATTTCCTGTACTGAGTTATTTAATACAGATGAGTTCACATTGTTTTGAGGTACTGAGTTATTTGATAAAGATGAATTCCCACTGCTCTGAGGACAAATACTTAAAATTCTTGGAGTCAGACACTAGAAAAAGCGGGAGGAGAATAAATAACATAGATGTTAAATACAACCAATCATAAAATTAGAAACAAAAGCAATAATTACTTTACAATGGTTCATAAAAAATTAACAGATACTGGAAATATTAAAACATATTAAAATTTAAAAAACTGAAACTCCAAGGCATATACTAAAATAGTATTTACATACTTTCCTACGGATCATAAAGGTCTGTCCCATCAGACTCGTACCAACTATTCCAGCAGAATTTGAAGGAAAAGTCACTCTTTATTTAGTTAGAAAATCAACAAATGCACGTTACAGATAGTTAAAAAGCCTGAATAAGCTTGAGCTCTAAAATTATCCAACCAATAAGCTTAATAAAACTAGTACCAACCAATAAGGTGGCATAACTCCCTAATGCTGTTTAAAATGGGAACAAAATTATCACCTTCTTTCTGAACTCCTTGCTTCATAAATTTGCTTAAATTCAAATGTAAACAGTGCTGCATCATTTCGTGAATTCCTTTATTGTATTGTGCTATTTTGTCGAGCCTCACATTCTTTCAACACTTTCAGTATAAATGCATATGTGTAACTGTCTGAGTGTGTTACAGGGTTTGTCCAGAAAGTAGTAAGACTGAATTTTTTCTTAAAAATGTATTCACAATTTTGATACGTTGACTTAATAGTTTTCAACATATGCTCCTTTTACATCAACACAGTATTTTCTAGTGATTCTGCCAATCACTGAAGGCTCTCTGGAATGCTCCCTCGTTACGGCCTCTTGAATGTCCTGGACCGAGCCGTGGTGCCGTACTTTCATAACCCTTTTCAGCCAGGGAAGAAGCAAGATGTCTGAAAAAGCAACATCTCTAGGCTGTTCCTGTACTCAGAAAACGAGTCACCCGTGTCCATCCAGCAATTGCTGTATCATGGAGACTCCATCATGACAATTCGTGAAGGCACACTGCCTTTGCTGTCATGGACTTTCTGACAAAATATGGCATTACAGCTTCCCCAGCCACCCTACAGCACACATGTTGCTCCGTCAGACTTCTTCCCTCGATTGTAAAGGGTCATGAAAAGACGGCACTACAACTTGGTCCAGGTCATTCAGAGCTACCGGAGAAAAGCATTCGATTCCTACTTCCTACAACTCTTATTCCCATTATGGGCTATTAACGCTTCATTTATTTGCCATATATTATGAGACAAAAATATGGAAACACCTTGTGAAATGCATGTTTGAAAAGAAAGATTGATTTTAATGAAATATGTAGGTGGCGCTGGCGTTTTTGACTACTGACGCCACCTATACAACTTCGTAAATGTGCTAAACAGTTCAGTTGTTGTCGGAGTACTGTTATGTGAGGTTGTCATTGCATTATGTCAGAGTTAACAGACTTCGAACGTGGGCAAATTGTTGGAGCACGTATGGTAGGTGCTTCCGTAAGCAAGGTAGCCGAGGTGTTTAGTGTTTCAAGAGGTACTGTATCGAAGATTTATTCCGCATATTTGAAAAGCGGAAAAACATCATCTGCTAAATCACAGCGCGGACGAAAGTGTGTCCTGAGTGATCGTGACAGACGATCATTAAGGGCAATTGTGACGAAAAATAAGAAGACCACAGCTGCAAAAGTTACTGCTGAAATGAATGTTGTGTTACCGAACCCTGTGAGTACCAAAACAATTAGAAGGGAGCTTCATAAACAGGGAATTGCTGGCCGTGCTGCAATTGAGAAGCCACTCATCAGTGATGCTAATGCCCGTAACAGGAAAAGGTGGTGTTTAAGTCATAAAGCCTGGACTATAGAGCAGTGGAAGCGAGTAATATGGTCTGACGAGTCTTCTTTCACATTGTTTCCCACTTCTGGCCGAGTTTACGTCTGGAGAACGCCATCTCAAGCCTATAATACAGACTGCTTGTTGCCAAGAGTGAAACATGGCGGGGGTTCTGTTATGGTTTGGGCAGCCATATCGTGGTTCTCTGCTAGCCCCATGATAACTGTGTCAGGGCACATGACTGCCAAGACTTATGTGAACATTTTGGCCGATCAAGTTCATCCCATGGTACAAACTTTGTTCCCCGATGGTGATGGTGTCTTCCAAGACGACAAAGCCCCTGTTCACACAGCTCACATTGTCCAGGACTGGTTTTCTGAGCACGAGGATGAGTTGTCCCATCTCCCCTGGCCACCACAGTCACCAGACCTGAATATTATCGAACCTTTGTGGTCTACATTGGAACGGAAAGTGCGTTCTCGTTATCCACCGCCAACATCGTTATCTGAACTTGCCACCGTTTTGCAGGAAGAATGGTATAATATTCCCTTGGCAAACATACAGGAACTGTATTTATCCATTCCGAGAAGACTGCAAGCTGTTTTGGATGCCAACGGGTTTCCTACACCATATTAAGCAAAGAAACATGTTTTTTTAAAGGTGTTTCCATATTTTTGTCCAAGTAACCTGATTTTTAATAAGGTTCCAAAAGGAAAAAAAAACGCCTCACATTACTTATTAATGTAATGGTAAGCCTAAATTTCCTATAACTATAATACTTGGTCTGAAAGAGCTTTTTGCTTTTCTTTGTAAAAAAAAAAAAGGGAATTTTTTTCATTGCTTTCTCCCTGGGGTTCATCTCTAGACATCAGATTCTGGTTTGCTTTCAGAACAACTGTAATTTGAAATTTTCTCTCAATAAAGAAAAGTATCTAGAAGTCTAGTCAGTAATCCTTGCACCCCTCTGAGAATCCATTAAACTATACACAATAACCATTGTTGCAAGTAGGAGGTGATTCCTTAAAAGGGGGAAACCATAGTTCAAGAAACTCTGGCCTTTCAAGGCTCTTACATCTACCAAATCCATGGGTCCAAAAGGTTAATACAATTAAAGTGGATCGAAAGGGAAGCCTTGATTTCTCTAGATCAGTTATCCATCCTGGGATAATATCAAAAATAGCTTGATGAATAAAATGGAATACAGTAGAAGTCCAGAAATCCGCAAAGCTTGGGATCAGAGGTTGTACAGACTTTAGAATTTTGTGGATTTCAGGACAGAAAAGATAAATCATAATATTCAGACTCAAAGTGCAAAATAAATAAGGCGTATTAGATAGATATATTTAATTAAATTATTATATACATTATTGCAATAACTTTATTATATACGCATAATTATTATTACATATATAAATTGATTATATTATTTCATTGTATCATATGTACACAGCATAGAGGTTTGCCGATTTCACCCCATGCAAAGATTTCTGGTTTTGGATTCCGGTGTTAGAATCGCTGTTGCTCTAAAATTTTAACAGCTTTTCTTTATTTTTCCGTATATCATAAACAATCGTGTCACAATTCCATACGATTCCGCTCTAAACCGAGGAATAGCACCTGCCTCTATCTTTTGCAGAATTTGCACTTTTTGCATTATGGTCAATACAATGTGTTTACGTTTTTCAACGGTGCAAGCAGTAAAACTATGAGTGTGTTTCTTATCTGTAATTGTATTAAAAGGGGCTGAAATTAAAATATTCTTAATTTATCCACAAAATATCTGGATTAAAAAAGGCAGCACTAAATAATCTAGAGAAATAACAAAGCTCAGAAAATACAACAACATGAATCGTGAACTTGAAAGAAGCGTTGAGTGAATCGTCTGCTTTTTTACCTCAATGCAGATTAGAGGGGAAAAAACTTTCATCGTGATGTCAATAATTTGGTATTTCCGTTATGACTCATTATTATTCGGTAAGTATTTTTTCTTTGATATTTTGTACTCAATGTTGCTATAAACTACCTATAAACTGAATGTTTATATTTTGAGAGGCAATGTGGATTTCAGGAGTTGGCGGATTTTTGGTATTTGACTGTATTTTAGTATTCTACAAATTTTGTTTTTAAGTCAATCCCCCCCCTTCAGTTCTATTGTGATAATGAATCAAAAGAAATAATTTGTAGCCTGCGCACCATATATTGGGTGCTCAAACAGAGGAAAAAAATGAAATTCATTGTCTGATTGTAATATTGATAAAAATTGAAATGACTTTAAAATCAAAGCATTTTTCCAAATAACACACATCCAAAAAAAAAAATTTAACTGTGAAAGAACAAGGCTTTCATAAGTAATCAGATTCTGATAAATAAATCCACCTAACTGAACGAAAAATTCACTGAAAAGCATTCACAACCAAAGCATCCTGTTCACAGCTAAAGCACTTCAAATTAAGCACAAAAAGAAAAAAAAGAAAAAAAAAATTAATTAACTGCCAACTCAAAAAAAATTAGAACAGAAGTGCTAACAATCTAAATGGGATGAATCACTTAAGAATGGATATGCATAAATTAATTTAAAAATGCAAACCTAAAATAAATAAGAATTAGTTAAAAAAGAAATGGATATTTTTAAAGAATGGAAAATAAGCTACAAAACACGTTTTTAAAAACTAAGATACATACTTAAAATGAGAATCTAATTACTGTCCATACTTATGGAACAATAGAAAGTGAATTTGTGAGGATGTCCAAGGTCATGAACATATGTCACTATGATGTCACAAAATCATGTGATTTAGGGTGTCATTTGTGACTTTCCAACTCTTTCCTGCTACTTTAGTTGAAAAATTTCAGGCAATACTGTGTAGGTGTGGTCATGTCTCATGATGGACATACTGACACCCTTCCATTAATGATGTAAAATCTAAAAGCAACAACAAATAAAAAATACTATACAACACAACTGATGTTACGAATGAGCTTAACAGTTATGAAATGAGCTTTCAGTTATTCTTCAAGATTTATAAGCTATCTAAATGAATGTCTAAAGAGGACATCTTGATTGAGAACCATTTAAAAATGAGAAAAGAGACAATTGTGCAATCATCTTATTATCAAAATCCATATTATTATCACTATTTTTATAATTATAAAACCTTATTACTCTCAAACACACTAAACAAAATTTTTATACATAAAATTTTAAAATATTCTAAAAATTCATTAATTACTGGAAATCCTGGACATGAATTTAGATTCTTATATATTAACGGTCATATATTAACCTTAGCAGAAATTTTTAAATTTTCAGAATGTACTAAACTCTAGCAACCATGTGCATAACAATTGCACAGCAAATTCCAAGCTTCAGCAACTTTTATAACAAATCTATTTTTTACTATAAAGTCTATTTTATAAAACATACAGTTACTGAATTTGCCTGCAAAGGGAAAAAATAGCAGTAAAATTTCTTCAGGAATACAAAAATGTTTTGCAAAATTACTAAACGGAACAAATGCCTTGAAGTCTTCAAAATATTTCCAACAGAACAGAAGTGCACTTGTAACAAACAAGATTTATTTAGTTATGTATAATTTAATAAATACATATAATTAATACATTCAAAATATTATTTAAATTTATAACACCAAATTTTAAACATGACATATGATAACACAATCGCAATGATACATACGATAATACTATCATCTTCAGGAACTGCTGGAATTAAATTATCATCATCCTGGGTCAAGTCAATGAACCCTAAAAAATTGTGACACAAAATAGTAAATATACATTCTATTTTGACTTTTATGAAGCCATAACTTTCACAAAACATAAAATTAAAAGTAGATTAGAACTCCAATTAAGTTTGATATTAAATTATTTATGGATTTTTAGTTTTATTTAAATAATAAAAGAAAATAATGGGGAATGTTATACATATCTTTTAAAAGTTAGTAAATTAGCTTAAATTACCATATGTATGACAATCAGTTAAGCTTGCAATGTTCAGCAATTTGGCGACAAAACAAAACTGGTATGTTCCATTAAAAAAAAAATCACAAATTTATCTCTATATATCAAAAAATAATAATAATCTGTATTAACCATTAAATTTTATTAACTGATATTGATCCAAAAATATTATATTAATTCAATTTTAACTGAATAGAAACAGCCATACATTTTGCTTTAGAGTAAAAAAAAAAAAAAAAAAAAAAAAATTTTCTTAAATTTCATGCTGTAAAAAAAGAAACAAAGTTATATATTGTTCAATGAAAATGAAAATGAATTTCATTGTTTAATTTTGTTAAGTATTTGTATCTTTTTACAAGATAGTTGGAGGTTTAAGTTTCAAGACTTTTGGCAAAATATTTATTTGATAATAGTTACTGATAATCTAAAGAAAGATAGAAACTTCTTATAATACTGAACAAAAAAGTGTTACCAACCAATGTGCAAATTTCACAAATAATTGCAAATCCCAACATTTTACCCTTGAGTAAGGAATAAACTGGTGCTTATGTACTATTGCAACCATCTTAGTAGAAGTAGCCAAATTTTCAGAAAGTGCCAAACTCTGACAACCATGCACATAACAGTTCTTCCAGCAACCACACTCATAACAATCATTTCAATCAAGCAATGATGTCATTTTCGTATGTGTTCTATTCCAAGTTCCAATGGTTTTTACACACAAATCATATTTTTTGACTTTGTTTTAAAGTATGAGTTTGTGGAATTTGTCAGCAATGGAAAAAACTAAGGTAAACTTTCGACAATAATACAGAATTTTGCTGAAAAAATTCCAGATGGAACAACAACAAAATGTGTTTTCTAGATAGCCACTGTTACCGAAGATTGCACAAAGCCGACTCTCCACAATTCTCTGATATTCTTTTAAGTGAAAACAGATCGCTGTGTACTTTGGGAGAAGAATAACGAAAAAAAATTACAGAGATTTGAAGAACGTGTTTTATTTTTTAATATTTGACACAACCCTTATTTAATAATTCAAATTTGTATTTTAAATTGCTAAAGTACATTCTCTTTTCCTATGTTGATATTATTTAGCAAACTTGCTACAAATATCGACAGTTTGGCAAGCATTCTAAAAAAGAAGATGCAAAAACCACCAATCTGCACATGCTAAAGTAACTTTCACATTTTCATCCAGAAAAAATTGTCAAATTGCGGCAAGATGGTTGCGATAGCACCTAAGTACCGAATAAGCTTATATAAAAATAGAAAATGTTGTTTTTTGACAGTCCGCATCCCCAGCAAAAAGTCCCAAATCTGCCTCTTCATTCTCACCATGCAGTTTCCAATGTACAACGTTGAATTTCTGTCTTTTCACATTATGATACATCTGTTAGTTGATAGAAAATTCCACAACTTTTATAGTGAAAGTAGTTTTAGGAATAAAACCATTTTTCTGTTTTTTAAAACCATTTTTCAGTTTTTTAAAACCATTTTGAAAAGCAGTTTATTGTCTCTCTTTCCCACCTTTTTTACACTTTCTTGAGACATTTGCATTTTTTATTAGTTCTTTCCTCAATTATAATTCTTTGTCTGGGAATTCCAAGTTTAAATGCAGTTTTTCTCTGGTTTCACCTACCAAGAATATTATAAGCTTTAAAATTTTACCCATTTCCTTCAAATTAAAGTTTTTTCGCTGTGCCATTTTTGACATAATACAAGCAAAGCATTCAACAAATTAAAAATATGCTTCTTCCAGTGATTTATTCAGCTTCAAAATTTACATTTCTAACCAGCAGAATATTGTATTTTGTCTATTTACTCGATCTGCTGCTTCATGAATACTAATGCTGTCTTTGCTTTTTTCAACCTAAAATTACCACTTCCTTCCCATTTAAAGACCGTTAATGTATAGTAATGCTATGAAACATTTCATGAACTTTTTTTATACCTATCTATGAACATAAACCTTAAAAAATAAGATTCAGAAGTAGCATTTTCATCTATCAGACAGTATTTGAAAAGAAACACTCATTTATAGCATCTCTATGTATTACTGAAGCACTTAATACCTGAACGATAAATAATCCAATAAAGCTAATGGATGAACTACACACAGCTTTGATAAATGCAAGTATGATAATCTGTCACTAAAGAATCAATCTATGCCTATCTAAATTTTGTAAGTGGCAGACACGAGTTTAATAAAGTGGCATTTTTATTAATTAATATAGGGGTTCCCATACTTTTTCAGTTGGTGATGCACTTACAGGTTTAGTATTTTGTTACGGCGTCCTAGTCATGTTTAATGAAGTGTTGTACAAGGTTTGTGCTTTACAACCTGCTTACTACATAATGCCATAGCAACACAACACTTCACTAAATATGACTCTATACTGATACTAGCGACCATGCACAGAAAAGAAAACAACCACAATCTAAAGCTCATATAGGTATATATCGAACTTATACACAAGAATATTATATTATCATTATTAAAGAAAAATAAGAAAAAATCAATTGGACAGGTGAGCTTGCTGATCTCTACAAAGTTTTTCAAAACAAGAAATAAGACTTGACACTGCCACAATCATTTCTAGCTCCCCACTGATCTATGAACGATATTTGCTCTTTATTAGAGCTACAGCTGAAAATCCGGTTTCACATAAATATGATGTTGCAAAAGGAATAAGAATCCTTAAAGCTTTGGAATTTAAGAGTTCGATATTCATTTTTGATGATTATTCAAAACTCCACCAAATCAAAATAAGCAAATTTTGTTTTAAGGCTATTGTCGCAAGAGAGTTCAAGCTTCTGTGAACTGCAGTAATATAACAGTGTTTAGCTCCCATGTCCATGTAAAGTTATTTTGAACAGTTAGGCTTTCAACGGCCTAGTTTTTATGTAGTTTCGATATGTCCCAATACTAAATTCAATTTACAGTTTATTGGCTTTGATGTAAGTGCTTCCCTATGGGTGATGCAATAGGTCCACATAACGAGCGGTGCTCGCGATGAGTGCTCCAGACAACTCCTGTCGATGCAATGCAATGGTCGAATGCGGGCTTCTGGAGATCACTGGCATAGGCTATAAAAAAAATTCAGTGTTGCCTAACTCAAGTCCGTACATGGGAAGAGAGTGGTGTCAGTTTCCTACACAATGAGCGATTTATATAGCACACACGATTAGAATTCAGATTCCGTAAAAGAGTAAACAGGAGCACAGCAGAACTTTGGGAACCCTTGAATTAATACAGTCAAAAGTCGTTAATCCGGACTCGTCAGGACTTCGACGATTCCGGATTATCGATCATCAGTTTAAATCTGGTAAGATGGCATGCAGAAATTATAAAATTAAAAATATGAAACCGTAATTTATGAAATAAAGAACAATTATGATCTAAAGGGTATCAAAATTTATAAAAAAAAAGCTTAATATTTATTTGTTTACTTTATTAAACATTTCTTTCAATGTAAGTTGTTTAAGTTGCTTCGATTTTATGTGATAATACATTCTCTTTAATTCTATAAACAGACATAATTTCTTGTTCAGTTACAAAGTTCCGCTGTTCAAGTCCTATAATTGCTGTGTCGAGAATACCGACTAATTTGTCAATCGAAATTTTTTCGTTTTCAATAACCTCTGTCACTTTCTTCACTATCGGAAGCGAATTATAATGATGAGGAATTTGATTTAAATCATATCAAAGACGGAGTACATCGAGATGAAATACTACATTTAGTAAGGAATTATAAGCCAAATAAAATAAAAACATCTGCCCTGAAGATAAGGATACTGCTGACAGATCAACTTCCAATTCATTGCGTGCCGCTGCATTAAAGATAAACAAACGTTAAAGTTTAGATAAACAAAGGATATGCCTTTATCTATTTTTTGCAGCAATTCCACTTTTTGTTTAATGGGACTTCGAAACATACTTTCGCTTTGTTGATCCTTTACATATTAGTAAATATATATCAGAAATTCTATTTGACATAATCGAAAGTTCAAGCTTACTTTTATAAAATTGCTCTAACAGTCTGCAAAAAATAATAAGCCGAATCCAATTCGAAGATTAAGGAACAACGCAATCTGCAACATTAACTGAATTAGATAATTTTAGCTTAGCTTATACTGTCCGTTATACATTAAACGCGCATTAGTAAACGTATTTTGTGCACGTGCACAAGCATATTCGCAGCCGTAAAGGTCTTACGTGCGTCAACGCGATGCATGCGCAGAAAGTTTGTAGCTTTGAGGTCTGGATTATGGGTGTGCAAATTAACAACTTTTGACTGTATATAGTTTGGAAACTAGGTAGGTAGGTAATTGAAGGTAATAAGCGGCTGGTTTTATTAACCATAAGTTTAACATGTGACAGGTACTGTATTATACAGCCACGGGAAAATAGTATATATAGTTAAGAAGAAAGCAATAATATTGTTATATACATATATATATATTTAATATAATAAATAGTATATACAGTTAAGAAGGAAGCAATAATATAAAGAAAAACAATTTATTAAAGTGCAGAAGCCTTGTAAAATTACAGTATCCTGGAATATTTTTAGGGTTAAATGCTTATCTATTCACACATTTTATTTTACATTTAAAAATCATCTCAAAAACTTACAGGTGTCTATGAATGCATTAATAGCCAAATATGATTTCATCATTCTTTTTGTGCATAAAATACAGAATGATTAATATTGCTTTAAAATGGCATTTATGAAAGAGAAAAATTTCTTATAATTAACAAACTTTTAATCTTTATGTAATACAGAATTAATAAAAGGTACTGATTTTCACCATAACATTTTTTAAGCATCAAAATATATGAAATTTATAAATTCTCACCTGAATAGGTTACAAAAGGTTTTGGAGCAGAAATATTTGCAACAGCCTGAAATTTAACAAAGGAAGACTAAATCATTAGAATTCAAGACATGATTTATTTTCAAGATTTAAGTACTACAATCTTGCAATGGAAGGATTAGAAAAAAGTTTACAAAAACTCATTACAAAAGCAGTTATATGTATTCTAAATCTATGATATTTTATTCCATATACAGATTGACATATGAAAAATATCTTGTAAATATACACATAAATATTTAAAAATAAATCAAAATAATAAAGCACATGTATGTAACAGATGTGTTCATTCTGGAAAATGTTTTTCCTCTTTTTATAAGTTCGCTTTCTCATATACACTACCTTCTTAAAATAGAAGTATTAAAAAATGATAAAAATAGCAATTGCCATAATTTCAATGAAAATGTTTGAAACTCTTGTTGCATTCATCATATTTTTAGCACTTTTTAATTCATCATTTCTGTAAGTAATCAAAAGAAATAATTATTTTCCAGATGAGTGGCAAACTAAAATTATTTCTAAACTGGATAACTGTTCTGTTTATCAGGACAGTTATACAATAACAAGTAGCAAAATTATAAATAATAAGATTAACAAATACAAAATACTTTAATCATGGTTCACACGCTCAGACAGAGGCATTTTAGAAGCATTCAAAAGGAAAATTTGTATTTACATTTATACAAATAAACATTACAACTTAAATTTAAGCTTATTAAAATTTAATTCACTTTCATTAAATGTTTACTAAACTTGAGATTTATTTAGAAAATATATTATTTAAAAAATTATCTTTTACAAAGTTAAAATATAAAATCAATATACAGTAAAAAGTCTGTAATCCAGACGTCCATTATCCGGAATGATCTATAATCTGGACCTCAAAGCCACAAAATTTTTTGTTTCTGTATGCTTTAACGCATGCACGTTTAACATTACGCACGCTCATTTAATGTTTACGCATGCACGATTAACACAAAAAACAAAGCAACTTAAACAACTTACATTGAGAGAAATGTTTAATAAAGTAAACAAATAAATATTAGGCTTTTTTTGTAAATTTTGAAACCCTTTAAATCATAATTGCTCTTTATTTCATAAATTATGGTTTCCTATTTTTAATTGTATAATTTCTGCATGCAATTTTACCAGATTTAAATTGATGATCTATAATCCGGAAAAACATTTAATCCGGAATCACTGAAGTCCCGACGAGTCCGGATTACGGACTTTGTACTGTATTTACAATTCTGATAGCTTTCCATTATAAGCAGATTTTACAAGCGCTTTTAAACTCTTTCCTATAATTATTTTAGGCTTTTTAAACTCTTGCAACAGTGTTTCCCTCTTCATAAACGCACTGTATGTGCGGTATAAAGTCTGAAATCAGGACCTAAGGACCAACAGCAACTTTTTAAAATTTTTGTATGCTTAAATTTCCCACATGTGCATTTAATATTTTTGTTATAATAAAACATATGGAAAGCCATGATTTTTAATTTCACTTTGGCACTAAATAAAACATCTCCATGTTGAAAAGACTCGATCATTTATTAGCATAAATCTAATACTGCTTTGGTTTCATGGGCTGATCGATAACCATTACTTGATAGCAGGACAGGCATGGAACCGTGATGGTTTTGGCTTATAGTTGAATGGTTCAAGATGCACAGAGCACCAACATCAATACTGCAAGTAAACTACCATTCTAGTTGGTAAAGTCTCAGCAAGCAGAACTAAAATTAGGACGAAGTTTAACCAACTAATGGCAGTAATTCATGAGATAGCAAAGTCTTTACGGAATGCAATAGAAAAGACGTTTCATAGTGCAAAATATATAAAATACATTCAAGATAAATATTGTTATAGAAACACAGATGCTATAAGAATACAATGAAAAGTAAAATACACGCTGCTACAATGACTTGAAAATATATACACTTTAGCTATTAAAAAACAGCATTACAATGGACTGTGCAAAGACGTTTAAATATTATTTTGACAGTGGGATCACTGTCTCCTAAGCTAAGTCATATAGGCATAAAGAGAGTTTGGAATTTTCTCACAGAAATTATGCAAACTAGCAAGGATGTAATCATGAGCAGGAAGCATGTCAATATCTTGGTGAATATTCTGATTCGGAATGCATTACGGAGCATTTGTAAACATTCCTAAAAGTTCATTTTGAAAAACATTGTTTTTTGCGATAAGATTTAAGTGCTGAGGCTCAAACTGGTACAGCATAAAAGAGAACTGGATGAATCAGTGTTATGTAGACAATTCTTTTCACTCCAAGGTTTAGCTTCAATTTCCTCCCCAAGAGGCTATACAATGGCACAAAGACTGGATTAACCTTGCTTAAGGCATAACAGATTTGCTCCTTGAAACTTAACTTATTAGCTAGGATAATGATATGGACACCCAGATATGTTGTAGAATTTACAGAGAAAATTTGATCTCCAGTTTGCAAATTTAAGTTGACAGGGTGGTTTTCCTCGTATCTTCTGAATAATATACTATATTACTTGCATTTAATTTAAATTTCCATAAATTACACCAGTGTGAGATTACATTTAGACACAGTTTCAGATTTTCTATAGCATGATTTGGATTGATTGATTTAAGTCATAACTACTGGGCCGTCGCCATATTTTGCAATCTTGCTGCTGAGAGGTTTCAGCACATCACTGATGTGCATATATTAAAAAGTGTAGGTCCTAATACTTAAAACAACAGCGCATATGATTTTTCTGCTGGATACTGTGTTTCCCATACGAACTTGAAATGTTTGACAGTACTATTATTGATTTTTTACCTACTGGATAATTTATATCCGTGATGCCAAGATGGGGAGTCATTATTTACTACTTTTTGCTTTCATCATAGCATCACTTTCAACACATTGCAGCTTGAGAAATACTCATTGCAGTCATGTCTTAACTTTTTTTTTTTTTTTTTTTTTTTTTTTTAAATATCAGTAGTCGAATACCCAAAAGCAAGGTAACCTTTCTATGTTGATATTATACTTGGTAATGATTGCAGACTTCAGATAATTGTGCTACAAAGTATTGCATGTGTTCAGGGGGAGAAATTTAATAGAAATTTCTTTCCATATGTAAAAAATAGATTTTGTAAATGATATTCATAAGCTAAAAGATTAAAATTAGGATTATTTAAATTAAGATAACTCATCTGTCATCGAGATAAGCCTTAAGTATATATGGAAATTTATTCATTTGGGAATGAGATAAACCATAAGCATGTGCAGGAAGTAAACGTAAGTATAATAAATAACAAAAGTAATATTGTAACAAAAGTAATTTCCATTTTGTGTCAAAATACCTATATTAGAACAAAGCTATATATAAATCTAATACATATCCTAAGTCACACTTTCGAGACATGAAAAATTAATTTTGAATTTTGTCAATCAGCTCAGTAGAACGGGAGATATAGAACTGTTCCCCCCTTTTTAGCACAGTGTACATTCTCTACAAACTCCCAACTGATAATAAATAAGAAAACGGGTTATTTTTTTAAATAACCTTAAAACTATCACCTGGGAAATAAAAGAATTTTTATGGTGTAATTTATAAATTTTACTTTTAGAGAAATTCACTTAATTTTACTTAAGAGTTTTATAATGGAATTTAGAACTTATTCATCTTTTAATATGTTTCGTCTTGATTCTTCAAATATTAGAAAACTATTTTCGTTTTAAACAGTTATGTTTAAACATGGATAGTCACTCAAAATAATTAGATCCAACTGCTTAAATCTTTTGTTACAGCAGTGATCACCACGGGAATATTTTACGTAGATCGTGTTAACGCTCTGTTTGGCTAATCTTGATCTCTCCACTGAGCTGGTGCTGATAATAACAACTACCATTGTCAGCCTTATCTTGTAGTTGATTGTATAAGCATGAGGTTGTGCATGCTGTTTTTCGTGTGAATATTAAACATTTGACAACTTGGATAGTTTAATTTATTTACAGGTATCAAGCTAGGTCTATTCTAACAATGTTGTGTTCAAGCCAAAAGCAAAAAACTCATCACTTTCATTCGGAATAAAAAACTGATTAATTCTTTACCCAGGTAAAGGATAAATGTGTGCGCTTACTGAGCTATCCAAGTGTATCAGTCAGTAAGAAAGTAGTGAATTCAATAAATGCTTACAAGATTTTATTTCTTTCGAGACATGAAAATTGCATTTTTCATGTCTCAAAAGTGCGACTTAGGATATATATTAGATTCATATATAGCACTGTTCAAATATAGGTATTCTGACACAAAACCAGACTTTTTCTGAAATGACATGCCAATTTTTTTTTCCATATTTCGATTCTACGACTCTAATTATGCCAAACTCCTGAGTTTTGTACAAATCACAAAAGCAGTTTTTAAAAAATTAGCTTTTCAATGTTAATTCAATTTGGTATGTATTTATTAATCCCTTTCTTTTTTAATGAAACTCATTTGATTCCTTCCTACACAGTTCGAAATTTAGGTTCATTCCAAATAAAATTCGCACTTTTTTTTTTACGATTTATTTTTAAAATTTGTATTTTTAAATAATTTTTATAAATCTTTTGAAAAAAAAAACTGAATTACAACCTATAAAATTTTTACAATCATCTTAAAGTAGATGTATTTCTAAGCATACCTGCAAAAAATTAGAGCATTTTATTCACAATTTTCGAAGATATACGTGAATTTATATTCTGCCGCAGTTTGAAATTTGGTATATTTGTTGTAAGCAATAACAACGAAAATGTGGTTTATGCACTTTGTTAAAATTATTTGAAAGGAGGAACGATGCAACATTTTTTTTTTTCCCCCGCTCCTGCACAATGGAAGGAAAAAGAAAATTAAGTTGCCATATATTAAGTTCGCCAAGTGAATTATTCTTGGCTCAAACTGAAAAAAAATTTGCCAAATTAAATTTTTGAATTTCTCTGTAAATTTCCCATCAAATTTTAAAAAATTTAATACTTAGACATAATCTGAGTCATAGAAATGAAATGTG